AATTTGTTAGAAACAACTTATGTTCTCTTTAAAAATATGATAAATCTGTTACTTTTGTTTGATAAAAAACTTAAATTTAAAATTAACTTTAAACGGGATGGGTAGTGGGACGGGAACCATGATTCCAGTACTCGATTCGGAACAATGACCTTCGTCCCGTCTCCGCCCATGTATCCCAATTAGGCGGGTAATCAGAAACTTTACTACGATGGAATGTCTCTTTAACCCTTCAGTTGGTAAGGGTTAATTACCAGAAGCTTTATTGAGTGGGCAATATGGACTTTTCAAATATAGCCAATATTGTGGGCTGAATTTTCTTTTGCTCTGTTCACGGCTTGAATTGAAACATTATTAAAATGAGCACAGTTGATGTGACCCAAAAATTAAATTATTGCTCGAAGTAGTGCACGTTACTTATTTTGTGTATAAAATATTAGCTAGGGTTAGAATTATTGTCCTGGTTGTGTGTTGTCCATGATTGATTGGACCACTCGAGGAATTTTTTATTTTTGTTTTCACCATAACCATAGTATGAAATTTGAAAATTTTAAGATTATGTCCGTGCCACGTTATTTTTTTCATTCTCATTCTTCTACTCATTTTCAATTACATATTTTTCAATAAAATAGTATTTTCTATCACATCAATAGCTTTTATTTCTTTTCAAAATATATTCTTCCAAAATAGTACCCAAAATTTCAATACTCATATGATAATAGATTCCACAAAATTAAAATGAGCAATTTAGTCCATCTAAAGTTCAATAGTAATCAAATATTGTTGTTATCAAACGAGCTACTGTCATGTGAAGAACTAAGTCTACGAAAAGAATTTAGAAACAGTTTAACCTATAAATTGATAAAAATGAGTACTGAATAAAAACATTTTACTTATGGATTCATTGTAAGGTAATGATTTCTTCATAAAGTATAAACTTTGTTGAAAATATGCTAAATATGAAAATAATTGTGAACGCATATCTATGTTTGGTCCCAATTTTTCTAAAGGCTCATTTTTTCAAAATTCATTTTCAACTATACATTTTTCAATAAAATAATTTTATACATAAATCCAAGAGAATTGACGTTTCAAAATGAAATATCAAATATATGAATAGCATAACAACAAAGGTTCGTAATAATAATAAATATAATTATAAAGAATTATGTTATCTGTGCAAAATTAGATTACAAAATTAGTTGCCAATTAAAAAAAAAAGAATCTTGTCAGATTTGATAATCACGTGATTGGTCGATCAATATTGGTAGCTAGCCAGTCATTGTCGCCACGTTTTCATTCAAATCCTACTCTCTGTCCCTGAAAGTTATATAGTCCTTAGTCCTCAATTATAATTGGTGAACAGAGTAAAAACATTTTTTCCTCAGTTTTATTTATGGAGGCGATTCTTGTGAATATGATAGGGTTGCAAGCATTTCTTCTTCTGCTACTCTTCAACTATGGAGCATCACAGTCCATTGTCAAGACTCTTCCGGGTTATTCGGGTACTCTACCGTTCAAGCTCGAAACCGGGTTAGCTCTTTCATTTCATTTTTTTCCTCTTTTCTTAACTTCGTTTTTCGTGTTTGATAGTCTCGAGTCCAATCCGATTATCGAGCATAACGTGAATTCAAGAAACTGAATTCTTTGTAAATTTTCGTTTGAATGGTTGATTAGGTATATTGGTGTGGGAAAAAACGACGAAGTGCAGTTATTTTACTATTTCACCGAGTCTCAAAACAATCCTAGTACAGATCCTCTTTTTTTTTGGTTCACCGGTGGACCTGGTTGCACTGGTTTATCGAGCCTCATCTACGAAATTGGTAATCTCTCTCCCTGTGTGTGTGTGAATATCTATGTGCTACTTCTTATGTTCTCGTAAGAGATATGAAAGGGTTTTTGGAGTAAGGTTTAATGGATTTACTTTCATCTCATAAATAAGTTTTAAATTGAATATTATAGTCCAAAATATGTCGTATGAAATCAATGCCTAACTCAAGTGGTAAGCATTACAAAGTCAATTACTCAATTATCAGAATTCAGATATTGTTTGGGAAGGGTGAAATTCAAAAAATAAAAATTAAAAAAAATGGTCAAGTATAGCCCCTGTTTGGCCCCATTATTTGCCATTTTTATTTTTGGAATATTATTATTATTTTTTTTTTGAAAAATGTGTGGTTATTTTATAGGAGAATGCGATTGATAAGAAGAGAGAGAGAAATGAATTATAATTTTAATAGATGACAAAAATAAGTATTTTTTATTCACGTGTTTCACATGGGCAAAAAATGTGATTGATAACGATCCATAATTATAAACACATATATTTCATATATTTATAAACATGGAGCACGAGGGGGAGGGGTGACATTAATTATTATATTTATTGCTCACTGTTTAATATTTTATTTTTTAAATATTTAAAAATAAAAAAATTAATTAAATAATTGAAAGGGGAAGCTCCTTGATGCGTTACTAATTGTGTGATTAGGTGACTAAGTGAAAGTGAAAGGCACGACATCCCACTTTGTATGTTTTCGGCCAAAAGATAAAATAATTAGATGCGTTTGTGACGTATTAGTTGTCGTTTTATTTTTTAGGATTAATGGATGAACGGTCGCAAATGATAAGTACAACCTACTTTGTAGAACTTATTGAGAATCGATTAAACAAATTACGACTTAACTTGATAGATGGGAGGAAATAAGTTTTGTCGGGTACATGTAACCTATAAAATGACAATTAACTCAAAAATATAAAGAGATCGAATACAACTAATTTTTTCAATTTTTACTTATTACGACATTTTAACTTTTTATTTTAAGGCATGTTACGTCTCTAATTGCAATTTTGTTGTTAAAAGTAAATCATTTCCTCAACTAAAAAGACAGCTTTCGCAAAAAATGATACATTGCCAGAATTTTTTGTTATTTTCCTTGACAGAATGTCACATGACATTTTATTATTAAACTGTTCAAAAAATAGTTAGTTTTTCCATCAAATCGACTTCTTCGATTGTTGCATCTGTCAAGTAGGTGGGTAAAAATATTTTGACACAGTGGCTTATTTCCAGTTTTTGCAACACTAGTAGCTTTATCCTAAGATTTTCTTTTTTGAGGATGTTGATTAAGTCATTCAAACACATTGCAAGCTACGATGTACATATTGATGTAGCTCTTAAGAGATTCATATTGAGAATTCCTAGGAATAGCTCCTGATTGTTGCATATTGCACATTTCTTTTCTTTGGGTAGTTTGAAACTCATTAATGCTCTTAGATAAGCTACAATATAAAAAAAAATGTCCAAATGTGAAAAGAAATTCCAAATAACACTAACATCCATAGCAATGGAAATCAATTTCAATTGTAACCGGTGGGCAAAAATAATAACTGGAGTCCATTCTAAACAACGTTCATTTTTCAGATTCAACGATGTAGTGTCATTTACACTTTTGATTGTGAAGTAGAAATCTGTTAGAATGCCATATGTTACGCCTTTGCCACGTGTAAAGGTACTCGATAATAGAAGCACTACATCATTACTACCTAGAAGGGTGCCTTGCATGAACTAGATCTGGTTAGCATGCTGAATATTGTCTAGGTGATATGGTTCAATCCTTTGCATTATTTGTAGCTTTAGCATACCACACTCAATAATCTCAAATAATGCCAAACTAAGGTGCAAAGACTTGGGTCTCTCTAAGAACCTCTCAATTCCACTGTAGGCGAATGATCAAGTAAAAGCAGTGAACAAAACATCAGATACACACTAGAAATAAACACTTTATCTGTTAGAAATTAATATATATATATATATATAATCAGCAAGAAATATAGAGGTAGAAATAATATTATTATTTTGATAATCCTTACTATAATTTATAAATGTAACTGATATTATTCTTATACCAACTGATGTGCTTGTGTGCAGGTCCATTCACTTTTGATGTTGCAAATTTTGATGGAAGCTTACCATCCATACTCTTAAATCCATATTCTTGGACCAAAGTAAATATCACGTCTCATTCAATGCATGATTCAAGTCATGTATGTATGTATGTCTAAAATAACTCTCTATCTTTATAATATATTTAAATGTTTTCAGGTTGCCAGTATTATATTTCTAGATTTGCCTGTTGGTACTGGATTTTCATATGCGAAAACTTCACAAGGTTATGTTTCCTCGGACACCAAGTCAGTAAAAGATAGTTACACGTTTCTTAGGAAGGTAGGCCAACATTAATATTGTACTCCTAAGTAGAAATTGAAAGCTATAGAAATGAAATTTGATGTGGGACTTAGAAGGAGTCCTCACATATTGCCATCTATATTCTTATTCCCACCTTTTTCGTGTCGTAAACTAATAATAATGAGAATAATGCAGTGGCTATTGAATCACCCCATGTTTATCAAAAATCCTTTATATGTTGCGGGCGAATCCTATGGAGGCAAACTTATTCCTATGGTTGCATTGGAAATATTACGAGGTAGCATATAACAAAAAGATTAAGAAACTTACACGACTTTATTCGATTTTTTCTTGTTCACCTATCAAGCTTGATTAAGTTGTTAGTCTTGATTGTAATGCAGGAAATGAAGCAGGACTGCAACCACCAATGTCCCTCCAAGTATTGATTTTCTCACATAAACATAAGAATTTCTCATATCTGTTTGTCAATACTATAACTTCATATTAAAGATCGCGTACTTTGGAAATTGAAACAGGGATACATTATGGGAAATGGAGAAACGATTTTAACCAATGATTATAATTCACGAATTCCATATCTTCATCGCATGGCACTTATATCAGATCAATATTTTGAGGTAATCTTTTTTATTCAATCATTTTTTTAATGATAAAATGAATCGTTTTGCATCTTATTCTCGTGTAATTACTTGACTCAATTTCAGTCGGCAAAAACTAGCTGCAATGAAAAATATTACAATCGTGATCCAAATAATCTGCAATGTCTTCATGCCTTTCAACAGATTGAAAAGGTAACGTTTTACATCCTATACTATTTTATCTTATTTTCATTTCTTTTAATATTTTATTATGGTCCTAAACACTAAACAATTTCACTTTATGATCAAATAATGCAGTGTATTGAGAATATAAATCTAGTTCATATTTTGGAACCAAATTGTGAAAAATTTAAATCATCAAAACCAGATGATTTTGGAAGGCGTCGATCATTGTCAGAAGACGATTCAATTGGCCACCTCATGCTTCCAGCATCTGGACAAGATCAACAGTGGTGTCGCGTAACTTACTTAATCCTCTTTTTATCTATATATTAGTAAATTTCGTTTATAAGTTATTTTTTTCGAAAGTAAGTTAAGACTCACTTATTAGAAAGTAAGTTGTGTTCATAGAAACACATTACTTTTAAAACTATGTTCGGTAAAAAAGAAGCTTAAAGAAACATTTACTTCATTATATCTTAGCCAACTATGCGAGTTTCTTTATGCAGGAACATAATTACATTCCATGTGGTGTTTGGGCAAATGATCCAACCGTCCAAGAAGCCCTTCATATTAGAACGGTACGATAAGTAGAAAAAAGAACAATAGTGTATTTGATCAAAATACTTAGGAAAATATTGTAATTTGGTAACTAGGGAACGATAACAGACTGGAGCAGATGCAATCTCAACATATCATATGACCGGAATGTTGACAATGTTCTTCAATATCATGAATTTTTCAGCAAGAAAGGATACGAAGTTCTAATATTTAGGTGAGTCATATTATTTTTTTCATTATATAGAAATTGTGACTTAATTTGTTCTAATTTAGTCTTATCCAATAAAAATTGTTTATTAAGCAAAAAAATATGACCTATATATGAAATATGTGAATTTGATATATATTGTCTAATTATGCTTCTTTTCTTTCCAGCGGTGATCATGACTTGGCTTGCCCATATGTGGGTACGTTAGAATGGATTAGCATGCTCAATCTGACTGTCGAAGACAATTGGAGACCTTGGAATGTCGATGGCCAAGTCGCTGGGTTGGTTTTGAGTTCTTGATCATATTGTGTATTTATTGCATGGTATTATTCTCAATATTTCAATACACTTTATCCCTTGCAGATACACAGAGAAGTACAAGAAGAAGGACTTCAATCTCACATTTGCAACAGTCAAGGCAAGACAAGTTTGATTGTGCTCTTTCTCACAACTCACAGTGATTTGAAGAAAAATAAGAAAAGAAAGGTTTTTTTTTTTTTGCAGGGTGCAGGACATACATGCGCAGAGTACAAGCCTAAAGAATGTCTTGCGATGCTCCAGCGGTGGATCTCTCGACGCCCTTTATAGGATTGGATAGAAGGGAAAATTTTCGGAGTTCATGTATTAAACCTTTTTAGCATTATAAACTCAACAAATATCACGTATTTTTAAGTTCATATGATGGAACTTGTTATTTTTAAGTGCAAATGCACAACTTAAATTCAATTCTGTTTAGCTTTGGAGGACTACATCGACACGTAATGTTATGAATTTGTTGCATTTCGTCCAACTTCAATTTGCTTAGGTTGAGTGGCATGAATTGAATTATACTAGAATTATGAGGCCTTAGATTGATTTAATGTGTGCCAACCAACATGGCCCAACGAATGACCATGGAGACACGGCTTGCTAAGGATGTTGTATCGGCTTAACATGTTGTGCAAGTGGGTCATGGCACTTGCTTACTGCATGTCACAAATCAAAGTTGAACTTCATATTCTACATTATATCTTCAAGATTTACTAGCAAATTAAATAATTGAAACATGTGAAAATAAGTGAAGCAGATATTAATGTTGCATTGCACTGAAAATTTGGCTTATCAGTTTTTTCACACAAGTGGATACTCGCCCATCCCAATTATATAGGCTTGTTTTGTTTTTCACACGAATTAAAAAAGTTTCTTTAATGTCATTGGAAAATTAATTTTTGCCAAGATCTTTCATACTTTACCCCTATTTAATTTTCAATATATAAAACTAAATTATTGTTGGAATTAATAAAGAATGTGAATGATGTAATTTGATGAGAGTTGTTCCATGTTTCCAAGAAGTGAGAAATGTGCGTATTTGGATGATTCAAGAAGTTGACATATTAAGTGGGGAAAATTTAATAAGAGTATATTGGTAAAAGAACACAACAAAATATTTTACATTAGAAAATAATAATATATATTTAGGACAAGAGAAAAAGGAAACTCAACATATATACTTGGGATGGAGGGAGTAATATTGAAGCATATCTTAATTGAACAAGAATTATGTCATATCTAATTAGTGGGCTCTATGAAATTAGTTTTGTATTCTTAAATAAGAAATGACAAAAATTATATGGTACAGATAATAACTAAAAATAGGTTTTTCATAACAAAATACAATGATTTTGGGTTTTTCGTGGGAACATTTTGTGGGCAGTTGCCTAGTCAAAAGTTTTTGTAAGGAGGAAACTGGTTGCACAGGGTCCATGATGGGGGCTATTTCCAGGTGCTGAAATAGTAGTTTTTGATTGACAGTTTTTTCTTTTATTTTTTTTAATTGTCAATCAAATTCTGCCAAGTATATATCTATATAAAATCCTGTCATTGACTCCGTTCCCGTAGCATATCTCTCTTTGTAATAGACATGACTTGGCCTTACACCATGAGAATCATTGCAATACATTTGCATCATGGGATTGAATTCACATGATCCCCAATTTGTGGATGTAAGTTAAAACATCGATTCAAAAAAAGAAAAGGGAAACTCTGCGTGTAAGTAAAATTCTCATTGCAATGCATTTGCATCATGGGGATTAAATTCACATGATCCCCAATTTGTGGATGTACGTTAACACATCAATAAAAGAACTCTGCATGGAAGTGAATATTCATCATTAAAAACCTCACTTTTTGTTGTATAAGCTTTGAAAACTTTTCTTTTGGTTGAGCACCAGCCATGTTTTCACTATAAATAAAAGAAAAGATGATGTCAATATTTCTAACTGAAGTCATGGTACCACAATTCTTTATTTTAAGTTTGTTCAACATGCTTGAACTAGTCTCACCTGTGGTATCTTGTAAAACTTTCAAATAATGGCCCAATATTAATTCGCAGTGCATAGTTTATTAGTTTATTCTTTCTGAGACATAACGCATCATAGAATAGATCAATCATCAGACGCCACATTATATGTAATATATTGTATGGCGAAAATTGTCATAGATGAATTGATGTGTAGTTTATACATTTATCAAGGTCTTTTAACCAAGACTTTTTGTTATCATTTCAAGTGTTTGAGTGTCGATATCTGTAGAGATTCAAAACTCCAAATTAGCCAAATCAAACATTCAATCAACAAATATAAAAATGCAAGAAACTGAAAAATAGTAAAGAACACGAGAGAATTTTCGCCCTAAGGCAAGAGGTTCGGAATAAAATTCCTAATCCCCTTTTGAGCTTCCGCCAACCGGAAGAAATCACTTCATTAACCAAGGATAAAAGATTGTTCTTCAATACAACAACCAATTAGCAAAGAATCACACAATATTCATCAACAATTTCGAAACCCCTCTCCAACACATAAATCGGTATTCACTCAAGAATACAAAACAATAGCTCACAACAAATCACTCAAGAGATGCACTAGGACTATCCAAAATTTGATTCACACAAGAATCTAGATTTAGAGTTAGAGAGAGGCAGAGAAGAGTGAGTTTGTAGAGAGAAGTCTGAGAGAATGAGTGAAATCTATCTTCTAATTTCACGTGTAGAATCCAATGTGCCCAGCCCTTGCCTTTACTTATAAAAGAAGTCTCCAAAGTCCCTTTAAAAAACGTATTAGCTGGGAATAAAATTGAAGCACGTTTTTCTCCTTTGATAAACAAAACTGACTTCATGTAATTATAATAAATGTCCAGTCCAATAGCCATGTTCAGCCCATTATCATTCCAGGCCCAATCCTTCATTGTGCCACTTATTCTCCACAATATCTAAACAATTTTGGATCATTTTTGTAATTAGGAGATCAAATCCCAACTTGAGTAACATTGTGAATTGGCAAGAAAATGAAAAGAAGTCAAGATTTTGAAGTAAAGATCAAGAACCGAGTTAAATATAAATTTACCATACTTAAAACACTATTTAAAATCCCTTCTTATTGAATATAGAACCTGAAATCAAATTCTTCCTAATTTCTAGGACATGCACAACATTGTTCAACATCAACTATTTTCCAGAAATGAATTTTAGAATGATCTTTCCAATTCCTTTTATTTTAGATGAAGTTACGTTGCCCATATAGAGATGTTCATCGTGATTCATCTTCTTGTACTCGACAAATAATCTCTTGATAGCACAAATGTGACGAGTGGCTCATATATCCACCCAATAATCCTTGGGATTTGATACCAAGTTAATTTTATCTCTTTGCTCTTGTACTTGAAATAGTTTTCAAAATCTTTCCATTGTTAAGGTAGTTTCTCGATCACATTAATTTAGAAAGATTCACTCAATTCTATGTATTCTGCGTCAATATCGTAAAGAATTATTTGCATCTCTTGAACTTGACTTATGCCTTTGAATCAACCATTTTGAAATTCAGAAATTTACCGATATTGAAATTCTTCGTCTCGGTATCTTCTATCATATATATTTTTTTTTACAAGAGATTCTCACAGTTTCTTGGTCATCTTGTAAGTATAATACACATTATATAATGTGTAAACCAACCCGTTGAGAAGGTATTTCTATAATTGAAAATCTTCATTATTCAATTATCAGTAGCATTTGCTTATGTCTAAACATGATAGTCTTCACGAAAAAATTTCTTCGAATTTTGCGTAGTCAGATAGAACAACATCTTCTATGGCCAACTTTTGTAATCCATGCAATTGAATTTCTTTAGCTTTCATGTTGAGATGCCGGCGATGAGACAAACGAATTAGACATAGAATTTTGTCCACTCGCTTTACTAAATTGCTTTGTTGATCTAGTCATTTTTCCGTTAAACAACAACCTGAGAAAATCCAATCAATATTGGGGTCTGTTTGATAGCAACAAATTCCATGGAAGATGTCACATCCGAGGAAAACGAATTTCACTTTGACCGTTTGATTGCAACGTGGAAATTATAACAGAATTTCAAAGTACAACAACTTTAAGCTGCATTTTTTTTTGTTTTCATGGAAAACGAATTCCTATGGGTTTGGTGGATTTTTATTTTCCAACTAACATGGAATTAGAATTCCTTTCTATCTTTACTTATCAAACTGACCCTTATAGTATTGAAACCACGTAAAAAAATGACGTAAAAAAATGCAGTAGTAAGAAAGTTTATCTTAAGATTGTTATCAAAATAAATGACTTGTACAATCAAAAGAAAGAAAAAGTAGAAACGAAGATAACGCAAGGTGTGTTGTAGGAGATCTTCGTAACATAGATTTCCCCCCTTGCATAGGTGCCAACAAAAGTATCATACGTCAATCCCCTAAGAAATAATACTTTTTTCAAAGTTGGTACTGCATTATATCGATCTTAACAATTGAATCAAAGGGTTGATAGTATTCTTCTTGAACTTGAAAACTGCTCAAAAGGAATCTTAATTCTAAAAATAATTCAAAATTTTATTTCTGAAAATAAATGAAACTGATTTTTTTTTATTTTTTTAAAGAGAGGAGTAGATTAGCTATCAATTGATATTTAATTGATTCGGTGTAGGAATTATGGAAGAAGGGGTTCTATTTATAGATTTCAAGTAGTTCAAGTAAATGAGTGCACCATTTGGTTAGATCAATATGAGCTCTTAGATCACACCACTTCAGATTGAGCTATTCAGATTGCGTCCCTTCGGGATGGTCCATGACTCTTCATCATACACCCGTCACATAGGAATGAAGTATACAATCATCACACCTCTAGCCATGCAGACACAACGTGTCAAGGACCGTAGCTTTATTTAAGCCTCTTGACCCAATCGCAGCCGCAGTTTGCCCAATTTCGACCGTACATTGTAAATATTAGTTAAAATTTGAGTTGTAATTTTCTTTCCATTGTAATAGTTATTTTAATTGTAAAATAGCTCTGATATTGGTAAACGTTTAGTATGATTCTCCATCATTTAAACTTCTACTCTATCACTTAGGTTTTTGTTCCGCAAGCTATTATAGGGGTATTAGTCTTTCAAATATTCTTTCAAGCTTTCTGATGTTCGCTCTCTGCACCAGCCATTGTAATTTCCTATTTTTATCAATTATAATTTCTAGCTTTTAAGTAATCAATGATCAATTTACTTTCAATGTATTTCAATTTCATGCTGTAAGCTTTCTACAAATTA